AGACAGACAGACAGACAGACAGATAGACATACAGACAGACAGAGACAGACAGAGACAGAGAGAGTGAGAAACAACAACAAAACAAAAATAAACAAAAACATTTTTATTGAAACTTACACGCGCTCACGACGTTTCTAAACACAAAATGCCCACACATACATACATACACTCAAACAACGAACAAACAAACAAACAAACAAACAAACAAACAAACAAAAAACACAGCCGAGCCACAAAACAACACATCAACTACTGTACTCAGAATCACGGGACACTCCCCAACAACTCGGCACGGCCTCGAGAATCCCCGCAACACCTGCTCCCCGGTCAGCTGTCACCTCTGTCCGATAACCTGTAGCTCTACCAGGGGTCAGCGAGCAATTAAACTTTGACATTAGTGCTTACACTTCATCTCATTTGCATAAAGAGCCACGTCTTCTCTTGCCTTTTGGTTAGGCTACCGGGCTCGTAATCGTGAGGTTGCGGGTTCAGGGGTTTGAGCCGCGGGCCCGACGTTGTGTCCTTGGGGGAAAAGCACACGAATTTTCTTCACTTCACCCTGGTTGGAATGGGTACCCGGCCATAGACAGCGAAAGATTTTATCAGTATGTTAGTGTTTTAGCGCCTAGTATTGGCCGCTTGCACTGTATGCTTCCCAGTAAGTTTAGGTTGTTTCAGATGGCTCTCAGGTTTGCTGGGGTAATAGTATAGTGTGAAGCGCATAGAGCTTGCTGTTGAGCGGGGATTTGCGCTGTACAAATGCTAGCTATTATTATTATTACTTACACTTCATCTCATTTGCATAAAGAACCGTGTCTTCTTGATAGGCGTAACCCTTAGCAACAGCAGCAGCTCTCTTCTTGTCTCATCTAGCCACTGTATTGTAATTATGCATGCATACTCCGAGCAGGTAAGTAGTAGTGACGTGGAATTATGTATACGCATAAGTCACACTTAAGTATACAAGCAAACGCGCAAACATCATTGATTATTTATGCAAGGTTAACAGTTTCAAATTTATTGCACGGTGTTGTTTTTTTTTTGTTTTTGTTTTTTTTTCTTGGTGGAATGGCGATAAAATCTGACCGTTTGTTAATAGATTCACGATGATTCATAGACTGTGTCGTGTGTGTGGTAGTGGTATCCATGTGACCTTGTTGGTGTGGTCATGGGTTTTAATATTAGGTTGTGGTGGCTAGTGATTGATAGTTACTGTGGTGTTGTGTGTGTGTGTGTGTGTGTGTGTGTGTGTGTGTGTGTTT